CTTCCTCTTCAACTGCTCCTTCCTCTTCATCTGCTCCTTCCTCTCCATCTGCTGCTTCCTCTTCAACTGCTCCTTCCTCTTCAACTGCTGCTTCCTCTTCATCTGCTCTTTCCTCTTTGACTACTCCTTCATCTTCATCTGCTTTTTCCTCTTCATCATCAGACCCTTTCTGGGATTGCTGTGAGAAGTTTCCAACAGAAGAATAACAAGAAAAGGCTGTAGATTTTTTCAGAGTCTCTAACCTTTTGCCGATTTTCTTGCCTTTGGTCTTCGAGGCTTTCTCAGGAACTTTGTTGTTGCCTTGCTCTTCATGTTTTTCATGTGCCTTGTCAGGGTCATCACCAGCAGGTTCCTCACCATTCTCATCAGGTTTCTCACCTCCTTCACTGTTTTTCTCCTCAGCCTCATCTCCTGTCTCTGGCTTTGCATCTTCTTCGGCCTCAGCTTCATCTTGCTCAGCTTCTTCATTTCCTTCTGCAGCATCTCCTTCAGGATTGTTCTCAGTTCCAGAGCCCTCAGCATCTCCTCTGCATTGTGATGTCTCTTCCTCATCATCAGCCAAAACTTCCTCATCCTCTGGCTCCTCTGTTTCCACAGCTTCATTTTCACCTTCGTCTTCACCTTTAGACTTTTCTTCACCTTCTTGCTCTTCATTTTGATCTTCTTGTTCTTCCCCTTTTTCTTCCTCCTTCTCCTCTTCCTTTGTTTCTTCCTCCTCTTTTTCTCCCTCTTCTTCTTTTGCTTCTTCTTCCTCCTCCTCTTTTGGATTTTCTTCCTCCTCCACTTCCTGCTCCTCTTTTGTTTGACCCTCGTCTTCCTTTGCTTCCTCATCTTCCTTTGCTCCTTCTTCCTCTTCCTCCTTCCCTTCCTCCTCTTTTGTTTCTTCTTCCTCTTTTTGCTCTTCCTCTTCTGCTTCCTCCTCTTTCACATCTTCCTCTTCTTTTGCTTCTTCCTCCTTCCCTTCCTCCTCATCTTCTTTGGCTTCTTCCTCTCCCTCCTTTACTTCCTCCTCCTCTTTGGCTTCTTCCTCTTCCTCTTCCTTCTTCCCTTCCTCTTCCTCTTTGGCTTCTTCCTCCTCTTCCTCCTCTTCTTCTTCCTCCTCCACTTTGGCTTCTTCCTCCTCTTCCTCCTTCCTTTCCTCCTCCTCCTCTTTGGCTTCTTCCTCCTCTTCCTCCTTCCCTTCTGCCTCCTCCTCTTTGGCTTCTTCCTCCTCTTCCTCCTTCCCTTCTGCCTCCTCCTCTTTGGCTTCTTCCTCTTCCTCCTTCCCTTCCTCCACCTCCTCTTTTGCTTCTTCCTCTTCCTCCTTCCCTTCCTCCTCCTCTTTGGCTTCTTCCTCTTCCTCCTTCCCTTCCTCC